TCCTTCTTTTCTCAAGACTGGCCATACCCAATTCCAGCAACCGCTCTTCATATGTTTTTGTTGCCAGGCCTTTATTCATCTTAGTTGCTCTTCTTTGCACTTTTTCCAAAGTCTCAACATCTTTTTTGTAATGTGGTGACCAAAACTGGATGCAGTATTCCAGGTGTGGTCTTACTTTGTTGTTGTTAGTTGCGAAGTCGTGTCCGACCCACCATGACCCCATGGACAACATTCCTCCAGGCCTTCCTGTCCTCTACCATCTTCTGGAGTCCATTTAAGCTCACGCCTACTGCTTCAGTGACTCCATCCAGCCACCTCATTCTCTGTCGTCCCCTTCTTCTGTTGCCCTCCATCTTTCCCAGCATCAGGCTCTTCTCCAGTGAGTCCTTCCTTCTCATTAGGTGGCCAAAGTACTTGAGTTTCAACTTCAGGATCTGGCCTTCTAAAGAGCAGTCAGGGTTGATCTCCTCCAGGACTGACTGGTTTGATCGCATTGCAGTCCAGGGGACTCGCAGGAGTCTTCTCCAGCACCATAGTTCAAAGGCCTCAATTCTTTGGCGCTCAGCCTTTCTTATGGTCCAGCTTTCACAGCCATACATTGCAACTGGGAAAACCACGGCCTTGACTATACGCACTTTTGTTGGCAGGGTGATGTCTCTCCTTTTTGGTATGCTGTCTAGATTTGCCATAGCTTTCCTCCCCAGGAGCAAGCGTCTTTTAATTTCTTGGCTGCAGTCCCCATTTGCGGTGATCTTGGAGCCCAGAAAGATAAAATCTGTCACTACCTCCATTTCTTCCCCATCTATTTGCCAGGAATTGAGAGGGCCAGATGCCATTATCTTGGTCTTACTAAGGATTTATAAAGCGGTACTAATACTTCACATAATTTTGATTCTATGCCTCCTATTGTCAACCTTAATTTGTGCTTTACTGTATTGGGTAAAACACAGCCACTGTTTTTGATTCAAGACACTAGGGCTAAGCACATGAGAAGTCAGCCAATAATCAAAGGATTTTTGTGACTAACAGTTCTTTAATAACATGAAATTGCACACAGTATATAGTTAAGTTAGAATTAATCCATTTCATCCAGTGCATTCAACAATCATTTGTGAAAGTAATATGTTCCCAAGTATGTTCAAACAATCCTTCTAGGCAGGCATAATGTAAATAGAGAATCTGATTGTTTCATGTTTGTACACCAATATTTTTATGTAATCAAGACTGGGGCTTCAATGGAATCAGAAATCTGTCTGGACGGTCCATTGTTGGCATTTTTTATTCTCCCTTCCCTTATGATTTCTATGTTGGGATTTTAGGATATTGATTGCAATGATTTTTATATTTATAATTGCTATTTTCATATTTTCTGTTTTATCTATTGTCCACGTCCAGAATCACCTTTGGTGAGGTGGGTGGCTATATAAATTTGATTAATTTTTCCCCCCTTCTCCTATCTGCAGGTTGTATTTGTAACAACACAACCACTGATACTACTCCAGTCATTCCAGCAACAGAGCAACCCAACAGCCCAGATCAAAACCCTGCAAAACCCAACGATCACGTCGTAACGACTGCAACTATGGCAACGGATCCCACTTGTCAGGATTCCAAGCCTTTGATGCAACGCCGTTCCCAGTCGCTCATCGTCATGAAACCCGTAGATACCTCTCGAATCATTTTGGAAGGGAATTCTGCCACTCTGGAGTGTCAGTTTCAGGCCCCAGATGGGGTAGCGGTTTTCTGGAAAAAATCTTGCTCCCCAAATTGTAGCAGCAATCTTGACGTCTCCAATACCAGCCACCGCATAATCTCTACAAACATCATTCAGGGCTGGTCAAAGCTCTCCTTTCATTCAACCCAAAGGAATGACACTGGCATGTACTACTGCTTTGTTGTTGCTCACTCCGGTAATAGGAAATCGTGTGGAACATATCTATGGGTCAGGAGTGAGTATAAAGCTTACACTATTAAGGGTTGGATGGTTATCTTTTGCAAATGGAGAGCAGAGGCACAAACGATGTGCCAGATCTCTAACCTAGGTTTTGATTGATTGGTTGAGTCAGTGTTGACTCTTAATGATTACACAGAACATCTCCAGGATGGTCTGTCCCCAACCTGGCCCTTCAGGTCTTCCAGTGGTGTGCTAAATTTATTTATTTATTTATTTATTAAATTTATATACCACCCTATCTCCCTTGCGGGACTCAGGGCGGTGAACAGGCGATATTAAAAACCACAATAATAAATAAATAGTTTGTTTTAAAATCGAATTAAATAACAGGCCTGTTCTAAAAACACACCCGTAAAAAACCCCCCACTGAAACATAATCAAACTACGCCAGGCCGGCCGCACGGAATAGATGGGCCTTCAGGGCTCGGCGAAAAAGGCGCAGGTCCGCAACTGTACGTAGGTCGGGGGGTAGGTC